AAGTTTACTTTGAATTATCTATCGACATATTCATAATATTCGCTTTCCCTACCAGCGTATTCCTGATATGCTCATGTTTCGCAAATTTCTCTCTCATCTATTTGCGTTTTAAAATGAGCACTTATAATTATGTCATGTCATACGAGATAAAAGTCCGTTGATAAATTTGTAAAAAAAATTTTTTTCGTCCTTTCTACAACGAATTTTAATCGTTGTAAGTGAAGTTACAACGATTAAATCGGTTTGTAGTCGTTTTCTCCAAACCGATTAGATTTTAAAAAATAATACATTTTGAAACATTTATGCTTAAGTTGCATCAAATTTAAAGCTTCTTCCATGAACCCATTTTTTAGCAAAAAATTGTTAAAACCGCCGATGTGATATTGACGTCCGTTGACACTGGGATTAAAGGTAAATAAAAGTGGCTTTACCCACCTCGCATTTTATATGGTACCGATAAACTAGTAACGTTTCAATCGGTAGATGAATATTAAAAAATATAAATCTTTCGAAAATTTGATTGAAATTTTATACCTGATTGTTTCTCATTACTATTAAGACACTTTAATCATGTATAGTGTATTTTATATCATTTCTGATAGGTTAATGACATTAGGAAAAAGCTGGGAAGAATTGGCTACAATCAGCATAAGACTGAAAGGAGTGGAAGATAAAAGGAGTTTATAACTAAACGCTGGGAAAGAAGAGAAGAAGACATACAATTTAATGCATGTGGCAGATCTTAACGTTATCAAATTGTCTCATACTAATCTACCTCAGATAGTGAAACGATTCATTAACTCTTTCAGGACCAAGCCGGATTTGGTAGCCGTACCACAGGGACAGTTCCGGTTCTGTGGTATGGTGTTTTTCATTGAATGGTATATGATCAGGAAACATATTCTAACAAAATTTATTAAAACGAAAACATATATATCGTAGTTCAATAATATACCTCCTAATCATGGTCGCTATGGATACGTTCAACTCTCAGAAAAGTGTCCTGTAAAGTAAGAACATTTGAAAGCCTCGAAGGTCTACGACAAAGAGATGGGCTATCACGTCTCCTTTTTAACATTCTCCTGATAGTACGAGACGAAAGACTCTGAACATTGGAACAATATTCAACAAGTCAACGCAGATCTTGGCATTCACCGATGACATAGATATTATAGGGGGAACAGAAAACGAGATGACGGAGGCCTTTACAAGGTTCAAAAACGAGGCGAACAAAATGGTCTTAAAGATAAAATTTGCAAAGACCAAGTATGCGGTAGCAAAAACTGGCTGTGAAAACATACAAGATTATTTGGAATTTGGGGATGACAAGATAGAGACGGTTAGCAGTTTGGTACACTTGGGATCCCTGATGAATAATAAAATTTCGTTCAACGAGAAAATAAAAAAGAAGATAACCCACGTCAGCAAATGTTTCCATGGACTTAAACCAACTTCACATCTATGGTAAGAAAAATCAAATTTGTCCTATACAAGATCTTAATGCGACCAGTACTAGCTATGGATCGAAAACATGGACCTTAGTGCAGAAAGACCAAGAGGCACTAAGGAGATTCGAGGAGATTAGTTGTTAGTGACAACAGTGTCTAGCGTGGACAGTACAACTTCGAGTTATATCACAGGTTGAGATGGATTGGCCATGTAACCAGTATGGACAAAGAAAGTATCACAAAAATTATCTTTGATCGATGTGGACCTGCGGATAGAAAATCGATTGGGAGGTCGAAGAGACAATTTGTGGACGATGTAGAGGACAACCTAAGAAGGTTAAAGGTCAAGGGTTGGAGACGACAGGTGCGGGATAGATAAGTTTGGAAGGAACTGGTAAGGCAGGCCAAAATTTAGAAGAAGCGAGATGATTCACGTATAACGTTGCCAGTAATTTATAAGGGATCTCCTTGCGATAAATTGATCTTACATCGTAAATTTGCACCGTCAAAATTATGAACAATGCTAGCAAGACATGGCGAAAATAATCGAGGTTATGAACGCAATCGTATGGTTTTGGTTCCTACTTTGGTTTTGGAAATTTAAATATAACATATAAATATTATAGATCTAATATAAAAATTAGGTCAAGATATCATTAAAATATCTTATTATAGTTATTTTTTCTTTTTAAAAATCTCATAGAACTACGAAGTATATCATCATTATCATTTATAAGAGTAAATTTTCATTCGCATAACAGTTAGTATGACACATCAAGTCGACCAATTTATTTAAAACAGCCCACTTTCCGGAAAATGTTTCTTGTCAGACCGTCATTTATCTTTCTTTTTAAGTAAAGTACTTTCACATAATTTATCAGGACAAATTCAAAAACCTTGTTCAACGTTAACGTTGGAATCTGTCGTTAAATCCTTTTTTATACTTTGTAAAATGAGATACCCACAGTTTAGGAACAAAGTTATACTTCACGAAGGCAAGGGGTACTTGTTTGTCAGTGTTCTGCATGCCACTAAAGCGTTATTGGTCTACTCGAGTTTCGTCTGTAGGGGAGGATTTGGCGACGACGAAGATTAAGTTGAAGTCAAACCCGGTGTATATGTGCCAGACGACGCCGACATCGAGATGCCCCAAGCTAATGTAGCTCAGTTACCGAACCGTTTACTTATTAACAGATGCAATTATGTCGAACCTGTGTGAATATATTATTACGTCTCGTTAGCTACACCTCCGGTCTCTGGATGGTTGGTGTTTGCCGCCGTGTTATATCAAGGGAATGGAATACATGATTTATGATCTCTGTATATGTACGGATGAAGCTTTTGTAACATACGGAGGTACTACCCTTGGTTTATTCAACAGAAAAAGATATAATGTTACGTTTGAAGGTGCTGTATTATTTCAAAGGTTTGAAATTTACTGTTATATAAATAAAGTTTGTTATTATTTATTCAACACTGAAAGTAGTGCTTGCGTTCCTTATTTACATAAAACATGTAACTTTTTTAAATATGACATGGATGAGTTTTAATTCAAACTTTGTACGTGTATCACTAATTCAAAGCGAAACGAGGCTGGCATAAAAATACACCAGAGAATTGAAGCCGGTCGCATTGAAACAAAAAGACTACTCCTGTTACCAACGTATTTTTATTCAAACTAGTTTCATACTAACAAGTTAATTAACATTATTAGTTAATTAAGAATTAAAACGATTGTGTTTAGTTTAAATTACTTTTTCGAGAATTTGAGTAATCTAATATGTAATTTGACAAGGTAATAGTGCAATTATTTTAAAATATTCATTTATTTATTTGCATTGCGCAACGGGACCAGTTTCATAGCGTGTTAAATATGTAAATTTTAAATATGAGCGGTTTCCCGGAAGGGTATTGCTCGTCTATTCGAGCCACAGCATCGTAAATATTTATACAATTCAAAGAGAACGAAGTCTGTCGGGTTTCAAAGTTTAGCAACATGTGTCCTTGACTTGAAATTCGAGCCAACGAATAAAAATAAATTTTGCACATCATAGACTTATAAACTTTTCAGTGGCCTTTAGTCGAGTATGTTTTCCAAAAATAAATGCGATCATCGTTACATATACAAAACACTCGGCTTCGTATCAAAAAGTAGAGGAGAAAACTGCATTCGTAAAGAAACAACCTCGAAAAAGTTAAAGGGTAAAAAGAACACGATACTCTTCCGGTACTCCACAATCGCATTGCTTAAATGCAATTACAACGTACTTTTCAAACTTCTCTCTAAAACCGTTTCGAAGATTCTTTTTAAAAGAAATCCGACAAAAGCTACCCATGTCTTTACTTCATTCCAAAGGAATTGATGTAATTACATTTTACGATTTCCTTCAATCGAAAGAAAGTTTCTACTTAAAAACGAAATAACAATTTTTGACTTAAAATTTTTCAATCGAAAATTTTAATTGAATCGTATTAACCCAGTTGGGTGACATTTCCATACATAATCAAATCTGTAAATCAATACTGACTAGGTACCAGTACCGAGTGTGGTCACACCGCGTAGTCAATCATTCGTGTTAATTAACCGTGTTAATTGCAGCCTCTCAGTAGCACTATCAAGTGCTTCATTCGACGTCTCGTCAATATTAATAGAAAATTATGAGTGAAGTGGTTAACTTAATATAATTAAAAGATTATTATCAAGAAAGCTTTTTTATTTAAATTCAAAAATATAACTCAATAATCGAATAATGGTAGTTACGATTTGGTTTTCTTAAACACAATTCGACAAACAAACATAAACTAACTGATAGAGTGCCTTTCATAATGGCTTTCCTCTCCATGGAGTTACCGGTCCAAGCCCATATTTGCATAAGGCCACAATAGCTTCGGATTGCGCGGCTGCGGGACCATTACGGATGACAAATTTGCTCGACCGATAAGTAACTAACTCGATTTTGAAGTTAGCAGGCGCGAACAAGTCGGTTGGCAACGCAACGTGTGCGCCCACGGAATAAATGGACTCTAATCGAATGAGCACTGGGGCGACAAATCTCACAGGACCGAACCTGTAATGTCATTCTCCACCCACATGGGAATTATCTATAGATATTAGAAAACCATAAATAATCTCGTTCGTACGTGGACGGACTTCTGATTTACTAAGTAATAAGTGAGGTTGGTTCTACGTGATTAATTATAATTTCTTTTTCCTCGTTAATTTAAGAAACCATAAATTCATTCGGAAACAAAATTAACTTTACGATCGGTTTAAAAAAAGAGTTATTTACAAATATTATAAGGGTTCTCAATCGTTTTTATTATCCCGACCGACGGTCGTTTAAAATGATTCAACCCCGCCAACATCAATAAAAACACCATAAGTGAAAATGGTTTAGACCGCATACTAACGAGGTTGTTTATAGATTTATGCAGCTGGTGTTCAAATTAAACGAAACTTCGAACTAACCCACGTTACAAAAAACTTGTTTAATTTATATTTCATCTTATTAGAATTTATCAATAAAGAAAAGATATATAAAAAAAACTTACAAAAAAGTTGTATGTGATGAAGCTTTTGGAATTTCAGTAAGATCATTTCGCATGCATCTGACGGTTCTCTGAAAGCACATGCACTTCGGTGGGCATGGGAAGTTGGAGTAGTTCTTCTTCTGGGCTGTAGCGCAGCAGGCTAAGAGGCCCACCAGAAGCACCATAAAGCTAACGAGCCTCGACATATCCGTGGGCGCGCACTGGTACTTCAAGTCTTTTAAAACAAGACGGTGTTTGTTAATACTTCTTCTGATCTTGAACCATAACACGCCGCAGTTGAAGTTATTGAACTTTCCGAGCGGTGTTCGCGACGAGATTATAACACGTAACGAAACGCGCAGACGTATAGCAGCAGGAGGAGCGAAATGCTCTTCGGACGGCGTCTCGCACGAGACTGACTCCGAGTCTGCAGGAATCTGGTCTTTTGTGTTTCTCTCTAAAAAGTTGAGTTGCGCTTAAACACTTCTAAGAAAACAGAAATAACTATTATATGTTTGAATTTATTTGGATCTAAAAATTTATGAATAAGACGAAAATAAAAATTTGATTGAAGATTTTCTTTTATTTAAATAAAAGAAAAAAAAACACGTTTGTTAATATCAAATATGTTTACATTTTCCAAATGTTTATACTCGATCATCCCACTTATAAAACCAATCTTTATTTAAATATTTAATCCACTTAAAAGTTAAAAAAAAACGAGTTTAATTTAAATAATCATCTATAAATCATGTTTGATATTTTTATGGATAAAGGCAGGCGTAACAGTAATAAAAGTCTACAAAATAAACATGTACCATCCTACCTGCGCTGTTCCTATAACTCTTCTTACAAAATAGCTTCCTTGAGATAAGTTTCTTCTTCCAATATCGTGTATAATAAGTAAAAGCCTTTTAGCAGCATTCTTTTCCAGTTATGTTAATTGGAAACTAAGTGATACGGGGTTTTCTTTTAATTAGTAAATCGAATAAAGAAAATAGGTGGTGGTGATGCCATAAGTTCCGGTTATCGGCTCAGATTGAAGACCTAATCCAATAAAGATATAGCATAAGAAAACGAGATTAACCATATGCAGATTGCGATGACGATCCGTTAATTTTTCAAAAATTAATTCTTCTTTTGACAAAGTTATTCCGTGGAAGATATTGAAATTATTCTTTTTGAATAAGATTAACAAAGTCTTTATAATGATATATTAATTGACATATATTGTATTTAGAGAGGAAATATGTCCAAAAAAATTCCTGGTTATGGGTCATTGTTTTCTTATCTTCGTATAAAACATATTATATCCTGCAATATATTCAAAACCTTCACCTGTGCCAGACCTTCGTACTGTTGTAAGAGATGTAAAAATATTGTTGAGTATCCAATTCTTCAAATGAAGCAAAACGTGAAGTACTGTTTTTCTCTTTGGCTCCAAAACCGATTTTATATGTAAATCTGTTAAACACTCATCTGCCTGTCCAATGTTAAGTTACCTTTCACCTTAAGGTATGTTTTCCAAGACACAGAGTTTCTTCGCAGCGCAAAGCGTGATACTCAGATCGTTTAACATCGCCGACTCTTTCCCATTAATTGAAAATGAAGTGCTTTCCTATAGAGCGCATCATACCAGCTTGGAACGTGCTTCGCCAACGCGGTAGACTGCTTCTGAAAGAGTCAGTAAGGAAATTTGATAAATTTCCTTACTCCAAAAGTACTCCAAAATTTTCAGCAGTGAGGTTTTGATCCTATGAAGACAAACTTTTAATTGAGTTTGTAAAGAAGCATGTGATGTTGTATGACTTGAAATACCTAGAGTTTAAAAACACTATAAAGAAAAAAGATGTAGTGGGATGAAGTTTGAAAAGCACTGAAGAAAGAAAACTCATCTTCTTTTCTTTATTGAAACATAATTATTTTTTATGTATGTATAGAGCAAAATTTATTGTCAAAGTGGTACTTAAAAGGTATGTATTTAGAAACAAAATCAGAACATTTTGGTAAACTAAATAACATATTATGCATATTCTTGTAAAAATTAATTTTACTTTAATTCAACCATAATTTAGCAAGATTTTTCACTCTGATGGTGTGTATCGGCGTGTACTGAAGTAGTCAATTAATCGGGTTCTCACTTGAACTCTCAGATTAAATTTTGGGTTAAGAAATGGTCCAAATTTGGGGTTCTCTCTGCGTTCGAAGGATTCTTGGGTAAATAGTCTCAATATGTTGTCTAAGCTACAGTACACAACAACAACAAAGTCAATGATTTCAGGTTTTAAATGTATAGTAGTGTAAAAATTCTGAAAATAGCGCTATGATGCCAAAAGTATTTTCAGACGTTGTTCTAGCTTTGCTGAGGCAGTAGTTGAACCTATTTTTGTTTACATCTTGCAAAATTTGTGTCCTGCAACATGGCTTCATCACATACTCATTTAAGTTGAAAGCTTTATCTCCAACTATTACGTGAGGCAGCAAGATATCAGAATGTAGAAGGTTTTTTGGAGGCGAAAATATAGTTTCACTTTTCTTCAACGTTCCCATTTTCGACTTCATGCAAATTCCTGCATCTTCCTCCTTTCTGTATGAACCCACATCGACAATAAGAAATTTACAATTTGCATCGACCATAACAAGAAGCACCACATAAAAATATCCCTTGTTTTGGAAGTATAGATTTCGATTTGCAAGGTGCCATAATTTTCTAATGTTTAGCAATTGAAGCTGTTTCCAGTTTATCTGGTTAATAGGAAGTAAAAATACAACCAACGCCTTAGGCCTGATCGTACTTATAGCAGAGGGGAAGATCTGGTAAGCAAATGTGAGTGATCTGTACGATTCCTCTGTGGCCAGAAACCCGACACAAATTAATAAGAAATATTGTGTCGTTGAAAACGGAGTCACACTATACGTAATAACAATATTGTTTTCTATAGTAGTCGTCTTTGTTTGTAGCAGGAAGTTAATGCAAGAAACGGTGTAAGTGTTTTTAAAAACACATTAAAAATAGGAAGAAAAAGTAAGAAAAACCTACTCCATGTAAAAAGAAAAGAGCTGTATACTGGTAACGGTTGCAATTTTTGGATACCGTGGAAAATGAAAGAAGCAAATTTACGAACATTGACTCCACCCAGCAATCAACTCCAACTGTGTAACCAGGCATTGATGAAATAATGGTTGTTTGATTTTTTGACATAGTTTTCGAAGTAGGTGAACATAAGGATGATCCACGTAGATAACCATTCCAGCATTCTAGTTTCTTTCAGCCACTAGTTTCTTTCAGCCACTAGTTTGTGGCGAGGTGAATACTATTTTGTTTCTTTTGGATTATATCCAATAACTTTCGAAATATTTCCAATTTCAATTTATTTCCAAAACAAGGAAAGAAATTCTTATTCTCCAGAAATATTTGGTAGAGAAACAATAAAATAAGAAATATTTCAAACCGTATATGGAAGCTTATGCATCATCTAGAACCTTAAAAATATGAAATTGATAAGTTTTTTAAAACAATGGGAGCTAAATGGAACTGCTGAACCTGCTCGTTTTTCCCACATACCACAGGATTTCTAAATACCCAATACAATGAAAACCAGTAGTTGTATTCCACCGAATCAACGTCATCCTCCTAAACCACTCCATCTCACACAGAAGCTTCTTCTCACATTGTTTCTCAAGCTTTACCACAGGCCTATCAAGCTCAACGTGACAAATAATATTCTTTTTCTATACTCATATACCCACCTACATGTATTATTAAGGAAGCTGGTTACAATGATTATGTTGTATAACTAAAAAACAATTCCGAAATTCAAAATATTTGCTTACTTACCGTAGCGCAATTTAAACAGAAAGCTTTATCTCCTACTATTATGTGAGGCAGCAAGATATCAGAATGCAGAAGGTTTTTTGGGGTCGAAGACATAGTTTTACTTTTCTTCAACGTTCCCATTTTCGACTTTTTGCAAATTCCTGCATCCTTTCCGTACGAACCTACATCGACAATAAGAAACTTGCAGTTTGCATCGACCATAACAAGAAGCACCACATACAAATATCCCTTGTTTTGGATGTGTAGATTTCGATTTGCAAGGTGCCATAATTTTCTAATGTTTAGCAATTGAAGCTATATAGTTGGGAAATTTTCAAAATTCGTCAGGTTTCTGTTTCCAGTTTATCTAGTTAATAGGAAGTAAAAATGCAACCAACGCCTTAGACATAATCGTACTTATAGCGGACATGGAAGATCCGGTAAGCAACTATCAATGATCTGGACGATTCCCCTGTGGCCAGAAACCTGACACAAATTAATAATATTGTGTAGTAATGTTGTAAAACAGTAACAATAATAGCAACGAATTGATCGTTGAAAACGGAGTGACGCTAGGCGTGATAACAATATTGTTTTGTATAGTAGCCGTCTTTGTTTGTTGCAGAAAGTTAATGCAAGAAACGGTGTATAAGTGTGAGGAGTCATTAAAAAAGGAAGAAAAAGTAAGAAAAACGTATTACATGTAAAGCTGCTAAGAAGAAAAGAGCTGTACAGTGGTAACGGTTGCAATTTTTGGAATCCGTGAAAAATAAAAGTAGCAAATTTATAAACGTTAACTCCATCTAGCAATCAACTTCAACTGCGTAACCAGGCATTGCTGAAATAGGTGAACATAAGGATGATCCACCTAAGCAACCGTCCTTAAAAGCATTCATCTCGCCACAAATTGGATTTCTTTTCTTTTGGATCATCTCCAACAACTGGAACTTCCTCACCATGCACAAATGGTCAAAAATTTTACAGTACCGTAGTTCGATCCCTTTCGATTGATGTTGTATAAATAAAAAACAATTCCGAAATTCAAAATATTTGCTTTCTTACGTAGCGTTAAAGCCAATTTTTTGGTTGCTGTTGTAGGGGGAAGATGTTTCTTCATTGCTCTGATTTGTAACTCCGATATCACCCATACCGTACATGTCGCATAATAGAATTAGTCCAAGTATTTATCTGCCACTATGTTCCATAGTAAGAACAATAACATTCCTTCCTTTAAGGAACATACAAAAAGTGTTGTTGTAGAAATACCACTTTCACTTACTTTAAAAGTTTATAGGTAGATATAAGGTTATAGGTATCTAAACGTTGCATTTAAATCCAAAGATCATTTTTTTGTCAAGCAGATATTTTAGTAAATTATTTTGCTTTTGAAATGAATGCAACGCAACAAGTTTTGTTACATCAAATATAGCACGTTTCTTTATTATTACAAAGATTTTTTGGAAACATGCCTTGCTAGAGTAGTTCAACACTACATCATTTAAATATATTTAAGTTTAATGCAAACAAGAAAAGTTTTAGAACGTCAAAAATTGTTCACAATTGACTTAATATTTTTTTAATAATTAATATGTAA